TCTCTTTTTCTTTCCCAAGTTTGATGAGTGAGTTTGGTCACTTGTTGATAGCATGTCAGAGAAATCTAAGTTATATGTAATTCTTCAGATGTGAGCATAACAAATGAAATTATGAGCACATTAGACATTTTAAATGAGTTTTATGAATGCTCATTTCATCATTTATGTATACTCATTTGATATTAGTGCAATACTCATTTTAAAATGTCATATTCATGTATGTTTCGAAATGAGTTTTATGTTAAAATCAAATGAGTATAACGCCCAAAAATAATGAACACACACAAATGAGTTTTTTAATATTTTGATACTCATTTTGTAATTATGTATGCTCATTTTGCACTGTTTCATGTTCATTTTAAAATGTTATATTCATGCATATTTCAAAAAGAGTTTTATGTTAAACTCAAATGATTATAACACCCAAAACGAATGAGCACACACAAATAAGCTTTTTAATATTTTGATACTCAGGTGATAAGTTATGTGTGCTCATTTGGTATTGTTTTATGTTCATTTTACAAAGTTGCACGTGTTAAACATACTATACTACATTAGATTCACATATTGAAAGTAATTATAAACATAATTTAAGAATTTTTTATAAACGAAAAATTAATAAAAAGAAACTGAATTAGAATATATGAAGCAGAGATCACTGTGCTCGTTATTAGGCTTCTAATACTCAGAAGAACCAACTTAATGCTCATCAAAATTACATCGATGCTCATTTAAGAGAAACCACGAACTTCATCAAATTTACAAAAATGTCACCGGCTGTACGGTGCTAGCCGTACAGCCGGCTGTATGGTATACACTTCCTGGGCAGAGCCAAATCATTATTTTTGTAAAATTATTTTAGAGATTTTTTTTATATTAAAAATAAAGACATTTTGGGACGGGTCAGGGCCTAGATTAGCCACCCTCTAGCTCTAGATGCTAGGTGTACACACTTTTTGTACACATTTGTTATTATCATCCCTAGTTGTCTGTCTACAACACAGTTTCTTAACGAATTGAAAGTATACAGACAATTAGGGGGTCTCCAGAAAATGTGTATATAAAGTGTGTAGCAAGTTAGCAACCGCTTTTTCCATTGCAGGATGAAGGGGGAAGTTGATTAAGTTGTCATTATAAAAGTGAAATTCACAAAAAAGAACTAGAACTTGTAAATTTCTCAAACTCTTTCATTGTTCGACTTTCACAGCCAGAAAGAAACCACCACTGGACGGCGCGCCAGCCCACTGCCTTCGGACCTCCGGTTATCGAAAATTTCATCCCTTAAAATTTTGATAACTTTCTTTTTTGGATGTTCTACTAACTTTGCTCATTTTCTTTTTACGTTAAGAATTTGTGGTTTCAGAAAATTTTCTCTCTTCTACACAAATCTCAATCACACAGTTTTTACTTTATTAATCTTCATGCTGATCAAACTTGACAAAGTTTTAAGGGACGGAGGGAGAACTATTTAGGGTCTAGGGAAATCTAAATACGAGTATTTTATTAATAAAGAAAAATTATATGGAGTACTTCGGGTATGGAAAAGTAGCTAAGATAGTCATTTCAGTAAGTTTAACCAGTTCAAGTTCAGTAAGAATAGTAACTGCAATTTCACTTGTTTGATTTTTAGATCATTTAGTGTGAGAAATAAAAAGTACACATTTAAATAAAGAGAATATTACCTGAAATAGGAGAAAAAAAGTTTTGAAAATTCCAAAATAGGACTACCATGTTTTTATTTCAAAAATAGGACTATTTACTCATGTTTTGGCAGTACCAGACTTCAAACATGAAATTATTTTTCAAATTTGGCAATAATTACTCCTATTTTTGGATTAAAAATATGACAATCCTATTTTGGAATTTTCAAAATTTTTTACTCCTATTTGGACAACTTTCCCTTATATAAAAAAGGTAGATTCTATGTTACCCATAAGATACCATACATTTGTCTACATGGACCAATGAGAATGTTGCAGTCGAATTATTTAAATCTAAATTAAAAATGATAAAGTGATATGGTCCAATCAAATGAATGATAGGTACAGTACCCCATTTTTTAAAATGGTACCGGAGTTGTCGCCTATAACGCTATAAAAAAGGTTAATAAGAGTGATAAGAAGAAAACGTGAGTTATTAACGGGAAGATGAGAATATCATGATTAAGATACTCTAGTAAATTTGTGCAAAAACAAGATGCTTTTTGAGTTAATTAGACGGTTTAGAATCACTAATTGAAGATTTGATTCCCAATGAAAGACCACAGTTTTGGACGAATCAAGTCAAACTCCCAAAAAAGAAACCGATAATGCAAAACCTAGGCAAAACCCACACCAAACGATCGAATTAACATCACATACTCCTTTCCTAATGGATTACGTTTGCCACGCGGCCAGTTAAACTCTGGATAGTGAGATGGATTACGTTTCCTAATACTGAAAAGGATTCCTTTCAAAAAAGATACTGAAAAGGGTTAGGACTCGTGTTAGTGTTACATTAGATCAATTAATAATGCCAATAACAATAATCACATTTGTCGTACAACAATATAATTTAGTACTTCAATTCAGTCAAAAAAAAAAAATATAATTTAGTACTTCCTCCATCTTTTGTTTTTTTTATCATTGTTGGTTGTAACAATGCAATATCATTTTTAGACTTTAGTTGTTACTTTTACGTTTATTAAGTAACATGTGTTTCCATAAAAAAAAAGTAACATGTGATTTGATGGTATCATTGTTAAACTTTCAAAGAAGAGGTCACAAGTTTGAATCTCACCCCAGTTCAAATATATTTATTTACCTTAACAGAACAAATACTATAATAGATTAATCGGATACGGAAATTGTCCTAAATAGGACTAATGAGTTCCTAAAAAGCACAAATAGGACTACTACTTTTTAAATTCCCTAAATAGGACTAAACATAGATTTTCTACCCTAAATACCCCTAAGAGTATTAATTCATAATGAAATGCTTTAATTCATAATAAAATCATAAAAAAACGTAAAAAATAATTAAAAAACGTAAAAAATTATAAAAAATGTATAAAACATTTATAAAATAACAAATTTAATTTTTATTTTTTTAAATTTTTTTAAAAAATAATAAAAAATAGTAAAAACCCATAAAAAAATGAAAAAATTATGGATACATTTCCCACCGCCATCTGCTGCCTCCCAGCACCACCACTTCCGATTGGTGAAATTTCTTCCACTTTTGATAAAAAAAATGCCATCTTTTTCTGAAAATGCCAAAAAGATGGCATAATTACTCTTCAATATGCCAACATTTTCATTGAATATGCCATCATTATGGCATTATTTAAAATGTTGGCATATTTTTCTCTGGTGATGGGAGCTGGTGGTGCTGGGGGGTGGCAGGGGTGGTAATGTTTTTTTTTTTTTTTTAATTTTACGATTTTTTTTTTATTTTTTTTTATTTTTTTTTTTAATTTTTTAAAAAAATATTTTTATTAATTTTCTATTATCTTTTTACGATTTTTAGTATTTTTTTCGATTTTTATTATTTTTGTATGATTTTATTATTAATTAAAAAATTTCACAAGTTACAAGGGTATATTTGGCCAAACACACATAAATAGTCCTATTAAGGGAATTTAAAAAATGTAGTCCTATTTGTGCAATTTTGTCACTTTTTAGTCCTATTTAGGGAATTGACTCTAGATTAATAGGTTAGATTGTTATAAAGCTTTGCCCAAAAAAAACTTATGTTTGTCAACACATAATTTCGAGTGTCGTCATATTTAATTTTCTATTAGTAAAACAAAATTTAAATCAAATTATGAACATTTGTAGAGAGTAAATCAATATTTTTCATAAAAAGTACGTAGTAATTCTTACTCGGTGTATATTACTCCGTAATAAATAAAATAAAATCAAAGTAAAGCATGCAAATAATATGAAGCATAAATTTTCAATGTTACAATTAAAAAGTTACGGAGAGATAATATAATTAGGGGTGGGAAAAACCGAACCGAAACCCGGAAACCGACCCTAGACCGACCCGAATTATGATCCCGGTCCGAGTTTTTTCTTTTTAACCGGCCCGAATTAAAAAAAAACCCGGACCGAACCGAAAATTCCGTGCTCATTAACGGGCCTTAAAATCTATAACCCGGCCCGGACCGAAAAACCCCGAAACAATTAGTTTTAATATAAAATTAATATAGTATATGAATATAAATAAAATATTTCCTAATATATTATTATAATCACGGTGGATAAAAAAGATTTAGTAACTTTTAGTGACTACAAATATGTTGAATTTGTTTAGCGTAATGATGACCATGAGAATATATTTATAGCAACTCTAGTAACTTTTTGATTTATAAAATTTATTTCGTAATATTTTTAAGAAACCTATATTATTTATATATATACATCTTACATAAAATATTAAGATAGTTATCTTCTTTAAATTTGAATTGTTGGTGATTTTGGAGACTAATATTTGTGTTATTATTTGCGGTTTGTATTTTTGATTAATTTTATTTGAAAATAAGTGTTAAAATATAAAAGAACAATGACATATTTCATGGCCGGGCTTTAACCGGTCCAACCTGAACCCGGACCGAACCCGGGCTACCAAAAACACGACTCAGACCGAATGTAATGGGCTTTGTTCCGGTCCCTAATTTTCATAACCTGAGACCTTCCGGGTAATTTCCGGGTTTAGCAAAAACCCGACCCAGACCGGACTGATCCCACCCCTAAATATAATGCACACTTCATCCTTAAAAACTTTATCAACTCTCCGTTTTTTATAATATCAATAACTTTGTCACTTTTTCTTACGAGTATTAAAGAATATGTGATTTCAATTCATTGTCTCTTGTCTGCACAAATCTCAATCCTTTTACTTCCTCTTGGACTCCCAGTCATACTTGGTCAAGTGTTACGTTATTTGGATGATAAATCCGTAGACGGAATATATCCAAGTAATTACAGCCCACTGTTTCCCTCCCAGAAAAGGACAGTCGTTTCTCTTCCTTTCTTCCCTTTTTTTTTTTATATGTAACGGATAACGTCCTTACCACCTTATCATCATTCGTTCACGATCACCATACTGCCCACCCGAGTAATCCGTTTCTCTTTTCTTTCCGCCGCCTCTGCTATTCCCAAAGCCCCTCTGATTCGATCATCTTTTCCCTTTTCGTTGTTTTCAATCAATCGTTGATTTGCTTAATTAATTAATGGACTGTGCCCTCTTCTCCCGCACCACCTCGTCCTCTGCTCTTAATTGTTCAACTATCACGGCGGAGAACGCCAAGCCGCCGCTCCGGTTGGGTTTTCAGAATTGGCGGGCCCGGGATTCTGTTCCCCGGTCGCGGAGGCGATTGGTTTTGGTGGCCAGTGATAGGAATAGTGGTAATCAGTGTGAATTCAGCGGATTGACCGCCCCGTTGGAGCCGATAACGCAGCCGGGGAGGCTATTGAGCACGGTGTTTCAGAATGATCGAGAGTATTTTCCGATCGCCGTGGAGAAGCAGCTGAAGCAATTGGCTTGCGACCGGGATGAAGCCGTCGCGAGGATGAATTTGAGCTTGGGTTCTGATGAAGCATGCCTCCACAGGTTATCTTCCTCTGCCTTTTCTAATTCCCTTAGAAATTCTACTTTAATTACACATGAATTTCGAAAAGTTATTAAACTTTTTTCAATTGAAGTATGTAAATTTGTATAGATCAAACTACTAACCAATTAAATATATTAAAAAACAATTTTGCATGCTGATGAACTTTAAATTGAATGACGCCAACTAAATCCGCAGTAGAAGTGTGAATTTTAGGTTGATACCTATGTTTGTGTTAACTTTTTTTTTATTAATTTTTTATCTTTGTGCGTAAATTGGGGTAATAATCAAAATAAAGAAGATCGAAGTTACTTTTCGGACTAAATTGACTAAAGTTGTTGAAATGGTCATTTGTAGTTTTTTCCCCTATAATTTTGTTAATACAATAGGTACTTAGTACTAAATTTTAAATTAATAGATTCAATTGTTTCCATCAGAATTTCGTATGATTTAGTTAATAGTGATAATACTACCTCTGTTCTTAAATAAATGCAACATGTGTAATTTTACACTGTTCACATGTTCTACTTTGACTACGTTTTATTTATTAATGTATTAATATTATTTTATGAAATTTGTTTAAAAATTTATTTATTTTATGTATTAAAAAAATTTGTCTCATTGTAAATTTTCAAAATCTATTTTTTTTTAAATTTTTTTACTAATACAAAATTATATATATTAATTGTCAAAGTTGTGTCTCGACAAGTGTGAAATGTTGACTGTTGCATTTATTTAAGAACGGGGGAAGTATAACAAAACCTATCACTCCTTATTTTATAAAGGGTGGACAAAATTTGTACACACAATGGGACAGACAACTCATCTCGGGACAGACAACTTGTCTGTGAGGGACAGACAAATGTACAAATTGTGTGTACAAATTGTGTACCTCAATCTTTTTTCTTTTATAAATATGTGCTAGTTTGTTAATACATACGTAGTATATCAATCTGATAGACTGATACAGTGATAATCCCGAGAAAGATATGTACGAGTAATATTTAATCAGGCCCAATCTTTAAAGCAGGTCATCAGGGGCGGACAGTAGTACAGACCCAGGGGGGCGGTCGCCCCCCCCCAACAAAATTTTTTAGTGTATATATATAATAAAAAATAATTTTCGCCCTCCCAAAAAATATTTTGTTTAAGTTACCGCCCTCCCAAGACAAGCTTCCTGGGTCCGCCCCTCCAGGTCAGACCACATTTTTTGTTTAAATTTATGGTGGGCCAGAAAAATGTTTAATACAAAAATATACGGAAGTACTGTATACAAAAACAATTGTGGCAAAATTTGTGGGTCCTGAGCTGCTGAATCAGCAATAGGGAACTATTTAAGCTCGACCCACTGCTGTGAAAATAAAAGTGACCAAAGGGGGTGTTTAAGAACCTGTGGCAATAAATAGGTTCTTGAATCCTTAATATTCATAAGGTTTTAAGTTCAGTTTGAATTCGAATTTGAGTAAAAACAAGTTTTAATGGTGCTTGAATATGGTCATTTATTTGTTGGTTCCAGGAGAATTGCTGATTTGAGAGAGATGGATTGCCAAGCTGGAGTTGAAGATGTGATGTACATGCTAATACTATACAAGTTCTCCCAGATAAAGGTCCATTTAGTTCCCCGACTAGCCAAATGCATTTATAATGGGAGGTTAGAAATATGGCCTTCAAGGGACTGGCAATTGGAGTCAATACACAGCTCGGAAGTCCTTGGTATGGTCAAAGACCATCTTGCCACCGTCATTGGTTGGAGTCCAGACTCGGGTGTCACGGATAATTGGGCCCCAACCAAAGTCCGTCGGCTCCACCTAAGCAAAGTCTATGCCAAATCTATTCTATACGGTTATTTTCTCAAATCTGTTTCACTGAGACACCATCTTGAACGAACTTTTCTTGAAGACTATTCATTATCAAGCAAAAGACCACTTTGTCCTTCGGGTCCGGGGAGTGGTTTGCAAATGTCATTAGTTCAGGAGGCGAAGCCCGAAACAACGTTGAAGTCTTATGTGATGAGGAGATTTGATAGAGAAACCGTACAAATATATGGTAAGCCAAAATCTAAGGCTGCAATCAACCTGATGGAGAGGCACACAAATGCGTTGTTTGGGGTTGTAGATAGAGATGATGTAATTTCAACTTCATTGGCTAGTCTTAAAAGGATTGTGTTAGAGGCTGTTGCTTTTGGCTCTTTCCTATGGGAAATCGAAGAATACACCAACACTACATATAACCATGAGGCTTACTAGTTACTAAGTTTGTGGTGTATATATGCTTTCTCATATGTATGTAATATAGTTTTAGTGAATTAGTGCCTCTTGTTCCATACAACACTTTCACCACAAGTTTAGTTTCATAATCGGTGCTCGGATATACAAGAATGTTCATCTTCCAATTATGAGAGCATCACAATTAATTAATTATCATTGGTGAAGTATATGAAATTATATTTCATGACATTTTAAACATGTGAATAATAAAAATTATTTTAAAAATTTTGTATAAAAAATATTCTAGTGGTACTGTGGTAGTCCATACATGAGGTTATGACTTATGAGTCCCACTTTAATATTCATGGGAAAAATAGTGATTAATTTTTTTTGTCTTGGCAAATCACCCATCGGTGAGGCAAACATAAGGGAATATTTGCCATAGTATTATTAAGATTAATGAAAAGTACAAAAGATTAGGGGGGCCAAACCAAACCCCCAACAGAGAAGTCATACCTTCTCAAAATACAAGAAGAAATAACAAATAGAGAAATCTAAATTGAGGGAGGCTAGATCGATCTGACCCAATTTAAACAGAGAAAGCTAATGAAAAGAAAATGAGCGGGCCAAATCTTACCCAATTAATCAGACCTGAAGAAAAGAAGTCCTAAAGAATCAACAACTACACATTTTTTCATCTTATAAGGTAAAGAAGTGATATTATCAAAAGGGAAAATCACACTTTTGATCCCTCAATTAGTCACCATATTGAAATGTCAGACCCGTGATTCTAAGATTGTAAATGTCACCCTCGAATTGACAGATGTGTTGTAAATGTCATCCCCGTCATTTATAATCCATCTTCAATTCTAGACTATCAATAAATTCACCGGGGATGACATTTACAACGCATCCGTCAATTCGAGGATGACATTTACGATCTTAGAAACATGGGTCTAACATTTCAATATGGTTTACTAATTGAGGGATCAAAAGTGTGATTTTCCCTTATCAAAAATATTTATGTTATGCGGGTTGTCCATACGTCCATCTCTGGGCCAAGCTATGAGCAGTCCAGTTCCCTTCACGAAAAATTGCGCATATGCTATCCTTCCCGATCTAGGAAAAAAAAGAAAAGAAAAGTGATTATTTGTAAATACTACGTAAAAAATAATCTTTATGAAAGTAACTATATTCGTCACTTTTAATGCCTTTAATGACATCTTGATGCAATCAGTTACATCGTTCACATCCACATTGAACATTTGTGAGTGTATTTGGAACATCTGTGCATAATGAGGAAATAAATTGTCATTTACTACGTATTATATTTCCTATCCTTGTCCCTTAGTCCCTCCTCACTTTTAGATATATCAATCAAGGATGAGGAAGTATTATGAAAGGAATTCGATTACCCCCAGGCCGTAGCAGTAAAGTCCCTCAATAAGACACAAATATAATTTAAAAGTGCTGAAATAGAATTTGAATGTTTGATACGAGTAAAATTGTAGTTACATTACTAAAATGCCCTTAAATAAATGACATATTACATAATGTCATGTTAAAGTAATAATGACATTATAGATCATACGGAGTATATAAAAGAGAAATTTGTTGATTTAGTCCCGTAACTTATAGCTATACCCGATATTGGTCCTGTAACTTTATTAACTTGCAGATTACATCCCGTAACTAATAAGTTTGTGCAATTTTGGTCCTTCTCTGCCGGAACTTACCAATTTCGCCGGAAAAGACACATCACCTGCCACATGGTATATTATTTGGAACTCATTTGCTGACTCAATGTTGGCCCTTAGCTAGAGTTAAAAAATTATTTCTTCTTGGTTGCAGCAGGAGCATTTTGAATGAAGTTTAAAGCTTTTTGGATTCATGTTTTAAGAATAAAGCATTTGAAATGTTACATCATCTTCACTTCTCACATCTTTAACATGAGAAAGACCAGGAGTAAAAACACTAGCCCCGCAACAACTATGAGGAACCTTTTATTTTTAGCCTTCAACTTTACAACCTCTTCCTCTTTTGAATTGAGTCTTCTAACCAATCCCGGAATTATCATCGTTCAACGATGGCACATAGGTGGGTCCGCTCATTCAAAAAATCTACAACTTTCTGTCTGTATCAAAACAAGATGAAGCTTAACTTACTTTTTACTGCTTTGAACACAAAAATACATTATCAAATGCCCCCAACAAATAGAAGATGGCAATTTTATTAGCAGAACCTAACTTAAAATATAAAATACATTTTAATTTTCAAACAAATTTATTATTCAAATGCTATTCTTAAATTTCTAGTTTATTTAGTAAAAAAAGAAGCAAACAATGTAAATTAAAAACCTGAACTTCTTACTCTGCTTCTAGCGCGTGCACGAAACCTCCTTCCAGGATCGTTATCAGTCCAAGAAGTTAGAAGAGAAACCTTTTTACCACAATCACACTCCATAAACTTTTGTCTGATCGAGAGCCGTTACTAGCAGATTTGAAGAATAACTCACTCTCTCGACTTAGTTCAGGAGAAATCTTCAGGTAGAGTTATATGTTCTTCCCCCCTTTTGCAGATCCGATAATAGGCTTGGTATGGTTGTGCACGCACTTAGCGAAGAGCTTTCGTACTCTGGTTTTTTAACTCCAGCTAAGTGTCAATATTAAGTCAGCAAATGAGTTCCAAATAATATACCATGTGGCAGGTGATGTGTCTTTTTCCGACGAAATTGATAAGTTCCGGTAGAGAAGGACCAAAATTGCATCAACTTATTAGTTACGGGATGTAAATTGCAAGTTAATAAAGTTACAGGACCAATATCGGATATAGCTATAAGTTATGGGACTGAATCAACAAATTTCCCTAGAATTAATTCCACCTTAGGTCCTCCGAGTTTTGTGTCATTTCCATATTTAGTCCTCGTCTTTCACTTTATCCATTTTTGGTACCTGATTATTGTTTTCTTAACCATTTTCGGTCCATCTCTAGGCATTTTTACTACCGGAAAAGGACTATATTGTTGGGATCCCTCCTTAATTGAGAAGTTAATGAGAATTCTAGAATAGTGCGGAGATGTCTAGAATTCTCTAGATGTGTGTAGAGAAATATTGAATGTTCTAGAATATTCAGGAGCTTTCTAGAGAGACGTGGAATTATCTAGAAGCGTGTGAAAGAGTGTAGAATATTCTAGAACATTGTGGAGTTTTCTAGAGAAATGTGGAATTCTCTAGAATCGTGCGGAAGTTTGTGGAAGCCTCTAGAACATTCTCAAGCGATGTGGAGTTCTCTAGATCCTTCTAGATGATTAGAGAAGCTTGTGGATAGTTCTTGGAAGAATCTAGAAATGTAGTGATGTATAGAAAGTTCTAGAGAAGCTTTGAGATGAGTTGTATAAATAGGGGTGAGATTCCTCATTCCTAGAGCAGAGAGCTTAGTGAGAGAGCCATGTGAGGGCCTAGAGAGAGCCTATAGAGAGCCTCCTCAAGTGATGAGAGAGAGATCCTTGAGGAGGACTATTGATTAAGTGAAGGCCTCCTCTAGAGAGGGATGTGAGAGTGAAGTAGTCTCATACATAGAGTGATGTGAGCTACCCGTTTACTTGTAAATTATCTATTGTACATTTCAATTGTATAATACAAAGTGATATTGTTAGATTGAATCTTTGTGTTACGAGTGGGTGGGTAAATGTACAAGAGTCCTTTGAGCTGGTGATCTTGGAAGTAGTAGGGGGTCATGTTTTCCCCAACATATATATGGTCAAGAAAACAATAGTCAGGTACCAAAAGTGGATAAAGTGAAAGATGAGGACTAATTGTGGAATTGGTGCAAAACACGAAGGACCATAAGTGGTATTTCTTCTATAAAATAATGACACGATCTTCATAGAGGAAGCGGTGCAGCTCAACTGATCACCACCGACTCACTCTATGGGAGGTCTCAGGTTCAAAACTCAATGGACTAAGTTTCTGTCTAGTTTACTTCAGGCCCCTAGAACCCCCTCTCTCAGACGCCCTTTGGAGTAAAAAAAATGACATAATCTTCATAAAGTTAGTGACATAAAAATGACACTAGTTGTCAAATGAGATTTTGGATTAGAAAACGTGACATTGTCATCTTCAATTCTAAAACAAAATGCATTTTCAAAAGAGCTAGTATCATTGTCATCTTCAATTAGTAAACAAAATGTCATTAAAGTAGCATTGACTTTTGAAGTACGTGAAATTTTCTGTTTAAATCTATTCTATATGACTCGATCTCATTTAGTTTTGGACTGTAAGTAGTTCAACAAAATAGAGCTAAAATGTTTACAATTTTCTTAAATTTGAATGCACTTGGAACATAATCTTTAATATCGAGTAGTAGAGAGTAACAAATATTGCCTCTATCCCATAATTTTTTTTCATATTTTTTTATTTAACCGTCTCGAAAAATTGTGTTATTTCCTTCGAAGTAATAAATTTGTAGTTAAAGTTCATTTCTCTCATCTGCACAAATCATAATCACATACTCCGTATTATTTATTGTATTATTTCACGTGTAAGTCAAATTTGACCAAATTTTATGAAACAGAAATATTGGTGAATTGGCATATATAGATGGTACGTAAACATAGAGTCACACTCTTCACCATTTCCCCTCTTCACTTCTTTTTTGCTCTATCTCTCTTACAAATCACTAATATTTTTTGGAACAATGTTGAGAAAATATGGAGAGAGGTGCCCATGGCTATGTTTAAAAAATAGACATGGACCAGCCGGGTCGACCCGGACTAGAACCCGGTTCAGTTAGTTAAAAACCCGAAATTGGTAAAAACCTGGAAAAACCTGGTCCAAACCCAGATCCAAAAAAACGACAAACCTGGAAACCAAAAGATTTTGTTTTCTAATTTTAAATCATATTTAACCAATAAATTTCGAATTGCAATACCCTAAAAAGAAAAAATGTGCAATATATTTATATACTACTTAATTGTTTAAGAATAAAATTCATATCAAATTAAATTATATAATAAATTTACAATACAAATTACAAATATGGAGTATCATTATATATTTTAATAAGATCAAGATGATAGTTTGCAATTTAATGACATTGTTTTAACTTTTAAATACTTAGTAAATATTACCATTAGTTACTATTATTACCATTATTATGTAACAATTACTTTTTATTTAATTTTGCATATAATAATATGTTTATTATTATAATTTTTCCATCATTTGCAATGGAGCCAAAGA